AAACGCATTAATCGTGTACCTACACGTAAACATTTTTCTCTTTCCTTTTCATCCCCGCTTGTTTCTATTCGTAGAAACGATCCTTCGTGTAAATTAACCCTCTATTAACATCGTGGAATTTTTGAGGTTATACATGTAAGTGTCTGTAACTCATAAATAACATCCTCTGTATTTCTAATAATCGAAGACCACGAGTATGAATTATGATAAGTCCATTGTTCTTGATCTCCTGGTTTTCACTATACTTGATGCCTAAAAGGATATATTTTAGTATATATATTTGAAAAGGAAATATTTTCAGAGCTTTCGAAAAATAATTATTTTATCGCGATTGGTGGTATCGAAATATCGTTGAAATATTCAAGAGAATGGGAAAAACAGATAATTCCAAAATTGAGGAACGTTAAGGTGCGTTTCTGCTAGAAAACAAAAACTGTGACTTATCATGCTTTTCCGCTGTCTTCAATTGTTAGTTCTCGTTTTTATCATCCAAACGATAATTATTTCCCTCACAAGCGAAGAAAGAGCCAGTTATAGAGGGTTAAAGACACCATTGCAACGTCTGGGATCTTTTCATGCATCTATTTGCACACGAACGCTACTTCCGGCACGACTTCGTCCTGGGCGCCATTCGGCTTAAGGCGCCCCTCCATTAACTATGAATATGGCGGTCAGACCCTAGGTATTCTCCACGCGTCTTATTTTCTCTCATCATCGACGACATGGAAATTAGTCGACACTCTTAAGGAAAAACTATCGCAATTCTTTTCTCGCTTCTTCCTTTCTTCAATTGGGTTGTAACATATGAAATGTTTATTCGGGGTATACTACGTGATTAATAATTATTCGAATATTATACACGAATAATACTCAAAATATTAGAGTTAATTCGCTAATTATATTTTCCTTTTTATATTAACTTACTAAGGAACAATATTGTACTATAGATTAGTAAAACAGCAAAATTCAACTCGTTACCATTTGTAATTTACTGCTAAAGGATTAACAACGTACGGACAATTATGGTATTTAAGTTCCAACTAAGTAATCAGTAGAACTAATTCGAGATTGACTAAAGGATAATATTCGATGACACTTTTGATGGAGAAAACAGAATGTCCTATTTTATTCTTCCTTCTTTAAACGAACTTCTAATAGGAATTTAAACTTCCTAATCAAAAATGTGTGTATAAAGAAAATTTCATAGAATTCGTATGTTCTCAAACATACAAATATTTGTCTAAATAGAGTATAAATTATTCATAAATTTTTTCGAACGATGAACACTTTGTTTAAGAAAATCATTTAACCAAACGACGTACCCTCATGTCAACTGAAAAGAAATGTCCCATATGTTACAATCCAATAATTTTCTGATTCAACTAAATTATCCCATACAAAAAAGAAAAAAATTAATTATTAAATATTAATTATTCCGACAGAACTCGATAAAAAAAAAAGGAAAATGAAATAACAATTTTTAATACTCTTAATCAAGTAACTAGACATGTCACGAAAAAAAATAAACGAATATTTCGAATACGAAAATAAAAGGTATCCTTTTAAATAATAATTTAAAAGAACTCTCAACTAGCACCATCATCTCGCTTCGAAGTTATGAAGAGGTTATAAAGAAAAGGTTTTATACTGATCAACAAAAATCTACTACATCGAATAAATCGTGGACCTTTTACATTTAATTGTCATTTTTTCCTTTTTCCTATTTTCTTCTTTGCAAATAAATCTTTTTAAACACACAAGGTAGCTTCGCACAAAGTAGTAGGTAATCTATCTATGAAAACAAAGATATCAGAAAATCGTTCGTCAATATTTCATTATCGAAAGAATTCGTCTCGAAGTTAATCCTCGTTCGAAAATTCAACGATAGCTAAAGGCGGGAGATTCAAATGGAAAGAAGAAGGGGAGTTTAAATGACGAAGATCCGGCGTCTGGCCAGCGACAGCGTCGAGATTTGATGGAAATCTCTGTTCAAGCGCAGAGCAAATACCGGGCCGAGGCTTGCATGTGATTGCTGATATCGTTGGAAATAACGATTCGATATAGCGATATCGACGCCCTCGTCGCGTGATTATCCCCGTTTCCACGTTATTTTACTCCCTGCCACTCGATCACGTGTGTTCTCGTGACGGATATCTTGGAATGAAATTGAAAGTTTTTTTATTATTCTCGTCTCCGTGTTTGTTCAAAGAAATATAGATTTGAATAATGACGAATGACGAAAAGGTTGAATAAAGCTCGGAAATTTGCAGTTTGAATCCTTACGGTGGTTTTCTATGAAGCGGGCTCGACGTTTCATTCAGATTTATTGGAAATATGCTTTATGGAGAAATACTTTTGTATTAGGAATTGATGAGGTGGAAATTTATTTCCATCTTTTTAATCTTGGGAAATATTTCTTTTCAGTGATGTCTTTTAGAATTAATATTCAGATTATTTCGATTTTTGTTATTAATGAAGATGCAAGTATAAATGCAAAGATATAAAAATGTAGAAATATTTTGGCATATACACGCGAGCGTGAACGTGTTAAATAGGAAATAATTAGCATGAAACGTCTAGTGTGACTAAGGCGACAAATAGAATTAAAAATAGAAGAAAATTTTGTTTCGAGGCAGTAATGGATCCTCATTGTAAAGAAGGAAAAACGTAAGTCAACGAATCGTTTAAGTACCAATCACGATCAAAACTCTAACTTCCTCGGTTAAATATTGATACATGCTCCGATTTAATTAAAATCATAGCAATTCCTAATTATTAATCATAAAACACAAACATTTGTAAGTTTTGTATAAAGAAAGATTTCATCAACCGATTATAGTGATAGGAAAATGTTTTTGATTATATTAACATTTAATTAAATGAATCTTTAAATTTCGGAGTAAAAGAAATCAAAAATTGAATCTATTATGTTTTAATTTAATCACTCAAAAAGAAAGAACTATTTTTGCAATATTATAAAACAAAAATAAAAATTACTAGTAAGTTATAAATTTTGTAAACATTTATGTTTAAAGAACATTAAATAACGTTCGTACTTTAGGGTTAATTCTATGACGACGAACTACACCATAACCTCAAAAGATAAGAAGCCTCGAGACGATGGAAAATGAGAAACGAGATAGAAAAAGGGAGAAAAAAGAAGACATTTGCAACGAACTGTTGTACTCGAATGTAACTCGAAGTTCATCGAATGACTGAGAGACGTATTCGTACAATTTACTGTTTCTTTATTTTCAAGAAACAGATGCACTTTTATCATTTTTTATCATCAAGATAAAATTTAATGTTGTGGATATATTGGTATTTTTTATCGATTTGTCAATCATTCGACATTTGGAACTCAGTTAAACTGTATACTCGACGAAGAAGGGCATCAGTGGAAAAAAAAAATCGAAACGGGATGATTAATTCTTGGCAGTGTTGGCACGAAGCGTAAACGAGACTCGCGAAGGAAGTTGAGCTCGTGATTGTAAAATATGAGCCATGAAACGCGAGGCCGTGTTATGTGTGACACAATGTTTTATATTGCCGGCTTGTATACATAGAAACGTGTATACACTGCTTGAAATAATTAGCAGATCGTTTAATTAAATAATTATGTCGCTCATGAGAACTTCACAGATGTTTGCATGATTTAAACAATGGATTAATAATTTAGATATTCGTTATAATTTAGTAGAACAATTATGCTGAATTTGAGATTATTATAATTTGTCACAATCAATATGAATTATCATGTTATGATCTGAATATTAATTAAATAGAGCTATACTAAGAAGAATGACTCCTGCTTTTCTTTTTATCTTTATGACTTTTAATTGTTCCCTCCAGGAGTTTTTATAAAGTATCAAAGTATCATTTAGTCATAACTGACTACTGAGACAGTCAAAGAAAAATTTAGTAGAAAAGTCTTATCGTTGAGTAAAGGATATAATTTAGATGATTGATAAGAGTTATATACCTAATACTTTGAATGAAATTGTAAATTTAGTTGGGAACTTTGTCTAGCTTTGCCTTGCTTTGATAATCTACTTTTATTTTAAATGTGTCACTAAGTGTACAAAGATGCCTTAATAATTTAAAAACAAAAAATTTTTTTATGTGCTTATATACTAATTATTTTAAACAGTGTGACTGATTAATTTTTATTGCTATACATTGAGTTGTATATGTGGATATTAAAAAAATATTGTTATTTTATATGTATCAAACTCAATGCCTGCAGAAAAGTATTTTGCCTGTCACGAGCCTCATTTTTGTGTTTGTATTTCACTGTCACGCGCTCAACTTGACATTTTTAGATAAGAAAGAAAGCAAGGTACGAAACGCTGTAAAGAATTCCGCGTGTCGATTATTCTCCTAGTATGTGTAAAATGAAAATATTCATTCAATCACGCAACAGCGTTCTTCCAATTGGAAAGATAAAAAAAAAATGAAATTTAATTTGCATGATTACTTGTAGCAGGTAGAAATACTAACGTAAAGCGATTAGAATTAGACTTTTTGGCAGATCTCTAATACAAAAAATAAAAAAATTCATACAATATGCGTATGCTAATTATTTTTTCTGCAGTGTTCCTTTATGCACACCTAAAAATTAAAAAAAAAAGAGATATACTATGGGAAATTAAATTGTCCTTGATCATGAAATATTTTTAACTTTTCCTTTCCCGTGTTTGCTTGAAACAACAAAACAGTGTGTCCAAATCAGTAGAATATATACACCAAATGGTGTAAAATGTGAAATTGTTCATTTTGCAATTTAAAACTTAGTGTTTTCGATTAAAGCTTCATAAACATTCAGCGATTCTTCACGCTAAACGATAATTAATGTATCGTGAGTTGATTCACTTGTCAAAGGTGTATTGTCCATGTTCTCAAACTTGTTAATTATATAAAGAAGCGACGAATTGAGTCGTAAACGATTTCAAAAACGTCTGCAGACTGTATCGAAGATTCACTGCCCGCACTGGGTCTGTACTACATTTGTTCTCGACACAATAATCACAATGAAATTGTTAATACAAATATATACTCGTATATGTATATATGTATATATATATATATATACATTATATAAAGAATTTAAGTAAACGAGTATCGCTAAATGATTAGTGACGACACCCGTGAGTTTTTAACGTGTACGTGTGTCTGTGTCTAACTATCAAAGAGAAGTCATATTTTTAGTACGAAATTATTTCTCGAGAGCTGACGTGTCATCTCTAGAGATTATACCCTATCTAAATACTTTTTACGCGCTAAATGTTCGCTCGAAAAAAGCTAAGGATTAAAAAGAAACGCGCCAGTGATGGCAGTAAACTTGATTCAGCGTGTCACCGTTGGTTTAGTCATATTTAACGCGGACGACGACAGCAGGCGCGACTGAACTGAATTAGAACATCGATCAAGAGCTATTCCATTAATGCTAAGGTCAATTATGTACAAAAATTTGTTTTATATATTACATGACGATTTCGATCCGCCGTTAGACTTAACCTCCACCGACGGATACCCGGCAGTTAAAGGAATGGTGTCGAGCGCTGTGCACCTTCCCTTAGGAGAGAACGTTGACCTCACGCGGTGAACTACACACGTTTAGCACACTGCTCGTCGAGTTAGGCGTGATCTGACTTCGGGCCTCGTTCTGTGCCTGTCGTATCGCCTCCTTATATGGGCCTCTTTTCTTCTTGTTGTACCGTGTCTGAAACAAATACCAAACGACGTTGTGAGTCATTAGACTGCTTAGAATGCTACCTTGCACTTTTTAGTCATTAGAAATTAAAATTGGAAATAACGTGATCGTTGCTTCTTCCCTCAATCGAATAGGTATATCAGTAATCAGACATTTACCTTAAATGTTTCCAAAAATGGACTCAACTGGTCGCAGGACATAAGAGAGCTCGTCGAAGAACCGTACCAGGCAACGTGCGCCTGTGGCCCAGACGATGTGCCATCCTCTTTACAAGAGACTGTGATGCTGAGAACCTGGATGAACAGAATAAACACATTCTAGTGTATAACATCCATTTAAACTTCATACACCATTCAATGGTACTAGAAATGAAACAAAATAGACATTCTAATAAATGAATACTAATCTCTACTATGATTACATTAGTACATACTTTTCCAGGCCACCAAGGAAATCCGTGAATCTTTCCCCACACCACATCACCGACGTCCATTCTTCTACCATTAGCAGTCAGACAATGTTCGACAGGTGTTGCGGCAAGACGCATCATCAGAGGATGAGACTGTGGCGGAAAGTCTGGAGCAGTTTCACCAGCGTCAACCTCGGGTTCTGGTTCACTCAATTCGTCACTGCTGGCACCAGGACTCTTGCAACCCGACGAAGAGTTACTCACAGGATAATCACATCTAGCATAAGCGTTTGTATTCAATCTCTTCAGAGATATGGATAGTTTTTGCTTCAGGCACTGCTCCTTTATGGCTGTGTAAGATTCGCTACCTGGAAGGACGTTCCAGTTCTGTTGATTCTCAGTACTTCCAGATTCCACGCAAGGCTGCTGATGCTGCGACTGCTGGCTCTTGTGCTTGCGGTCCTCCTTGTGCTTCTTTTTATGTTTCACTTTATGCTTGCGTCGGTGGTACGACAACGTGTCGTATGAGGGATTATATCTACAAGAAACAACGAATCATCATCAATTCAAAGTTCAGTATGCTCTGAACAAACGAACGAGAATAAACAAAACCAATTTACCGTGGGGATCCATTGCAAGGGGATCTCGCTGGTGAGACTCCACCTAGCATTTTTCTCCTGGCTTCCTTCTTGGCCTTCTTCAACGCTCGTTTTGCAGCCTTAGCACTCGCATCCTTCACACCCTGTTTCTGAGGATCTACCTGCTCCTGTCCATCTTCTTCCCCGTCTTCGCGGAAGTCGTAATCGTTGTCAAAATTCCTTGGCAATTCCAAGGGATCCCTCTCCGTTTCCGTCTGAACATCTTCAGTGTCATCGGTTTCCTGCTCGTACTCCGGATCCTGGATCTTAGAGGGTATCTTGAGAACCGTGCCTTCGCCCTGAGTACCGAAAGAGATCTTGATCACCGGTGTAGTCCTAGCTGTTCTTGTCGGGTCCTCGAACACGGTCTCGTCCCATAAATCCTCCATAGATCCAACCGATCGTTTCTTTCGCGGCACACGACCCGTTCTTGGCCTCATTGTCGAGTCCGCGGCCGCGAACGTTTTCTTCTCCTCTTCCTCCGGTATTTTTGCGCTCTCCACCGAGGAGCTGCTAAGCCTTCTGGGCGTGGCACAGTACGCCATCGATGGATTGCTGTCACAATCCGTTGATTCCATGCGTTCTTCCGTTGGCTCCATGGCGTTCGCTGATGAATCACCTTCCTCTGCTCTATTGTTCCAGTACGATGGGCCGATCTTCGCCTTTTCTGTGGAGAACAAATAAAAGAAGAAAATGAGATCTCAGAAATTTCAATTACCATTAAAAAATTTCTTTAAAATTCCTTCACTTAAAATCTCTTACTCTTCGTATCTGTTCAAAGTTCCTCATCGAATCACTGATAATCCCTGTCTCGTTATACAGTACTTTGTCTCATATAATAGACTAAATATTTAAAACTGGACTTGGTGCTAAGAAGTAATAATTGATTTCGATTTTTCTTATCGATCCAGGAGTTCGTATTTCACTTTATTCTATTTGTAAGTCCAACTCACAGGCTAATTATAACGAACCAAGAGAGATTAGTACCCCTGCATGTATTTCACGAGCAATCTTGTTATTCGCAAATGGACCTTACGTAATTCGACTATCGAAGCCTAAGATACTTACTTTAATCACCTTCTTCGAGGGTAAGCTTCTAAAAGATTAAGACCACATGTTATGAAACACCTTATAGAGAAAATCAATAACTCAACGAAACCTTTATATAACGTAAAATTGTACGGGTACAGCGGGTGTTTCTTCGATTGAAGGACTGTTCGATGGAAAGGAGACACATGTCCGAGGGATACTGACCATTTCCCTGCATAGCGTTGTTTATCTCGTTCGGCTGAAGTCTCGAGATTTTCGGGATGAGAGACGGACCAAGCTTCGATGAATCGGGGCTCAGTGCTGCGGATGACGAGGACTTGGCCGTTTCGTGAGATGACACCGCGATGTTCTCCGACTGACATTCGGAGAATAGTATTCTCGAGGCTTTTTGCGGCTGCTGACCGCAACGACGATCGCTCCTCCGAGTGGATCCATGGCCCGTGACCTAATCGAATCGAAACATCCAGAGTTTTTATTAACCCTTTGCACTCGAAGATCTTTTTCACGATAACAAACAACAACTCGAAGCTTTTCTTATATTTTTAGAAACTCGCCCATACTCCTAATACTGAAATAAAGATGGAGAAACACGTGTCTAACGAATAAAAATATTTTCTCAAACGAATAATAATATTTCAATATTTCGATAGTTAGGTTATAGCAAATGGCGACCGAGACTCGCTTCTCGAGTGTAAAGGGTTAATACTTGAGAAGAGACTGTCAGCCATTTGCAATTTCTCGCAATCTGCGTTGCAACAAATTTTCGAAACTTTTATAAAATTTACTGTAATATGTATATTCCATGTATCCTAAATTTATATTAAATTCGTATTTACGTTTTCTTGAAAATTACAAAAATTTCGGTTGGAGTTTATATTTGTATTTATAGGTTATATTTGATAATCAGTTTATAGTTTGTATCTAACCCCTATGGATAATATAATTGATATTTCGATAATCGAAATTTTACTTCGTTTAATAATGTAGCAACGATGCATGTCAATTAATGTTCTGTACAAAATATCGTACATAGGTAATAGAAAGTGCTTTGATTCTTTTCTCTTTGATTTAGATATTTTTTGAAATTTGTATCGAAGAAGAATAATAATTGATTGGAAACTAAAGGGAATTAAGGGAGTATGAATATTTCTGCAATTGACTGTGCATCTATAATTAATGTAAAACGACGTAACGACTCGATGAGAACGATCAATCATTTTCTGAAAATGGCTACCAATAAGCTGTTCCTCGTGGCAAAAGTACTTTAGTCAACGAAATTCGGAATGTTCCGATGGAATTAATACTTGAAAATACACAGTTTGATTAATGACGATTTCGAAACCTGTTACGAAAGAATAATAATTATTTGAAATTAATTATCCAAAATGTACTCCCATAATCAACTGTATATTAATAACACGATTGATCTAAAGAGACGTAACGACCGAAAAGAAATCATCTATCATCCCTATCAATTCCTAGAAATGGCACTTCGCTAACAAGCTGTTCCTCGTGGTAAAAGTACTTTAATCAACGAAACGTCGAAGTCTGCAAACTTCTGGTAAAATTCCAAATCCGAATTACAGCATAAAACGCTTAAAAATACGTCAGTTGATCGATACGAATTTGAAACAATTGAAAAAGAGTACCAATCGCTCAGCAAATGAATTAGCATTATTCAGAAGAAAATAATCAATCATTCTTATCATTTTCCGAAAAAAATGGCACTCTTTTGTGAAGACAACGAAATAGAAAAATTCCTAAACTTTTGGTAAAATTTCAAATACAAGTTAGAACACAAAGCATTTAAGATTCTACAAATGAATAAACAAAAATGCAAAAGAAACAGCAATATTGAATATTTAGATCGCCAATTGAGTATTTACAACTAAAGTCAATATTACGTCTAATTAAATTACGTTAAATTAATAATTAATTGAACAAGACCGGATCCGCCATTTTATATAGTTCCTGAAAATGGCCGTCCGCGAACAAGCAACTAGCCATAGTAAGAGCTTTCAATCGACGAGGTGTCGAAATTTAGAAAGTTTTTGGTGAAATTCCAAATATGAATCAGGATATAAAATACTCGAACGCAATTTACATGGTCTGACACCGAGCCAGCAAAAGTGTCTTAAGGCCAGCACGTGTACAGAGGCGAGGAAACGGCAGTATTAAATGTACCATTTAGAACACTTTGTGTTGAAGCAGGAAGAGAACTAGGGAGGCAAGTTGCCATGCCAGAATCAAACTGCTCGCACAATGTAAGCGTGCCTCGCAAGACAACGCGTTAAGCTACTTTTCCGCTAGTTCAAAATCGTATGACTTTCTTCCCTTAGTCTGGCGTGCTCTCGTTCGACCAAGTTTCCTGCAACCCAATTTGCCTCGCTCCTTTCTCAGATCCTACGCCAAGTTTGCCACGTCGACAGGCCCGAAAACTTTCCTCGACCTACGTCATATTTGACGGTTTTTATCATGGTGGTATTATAACAATAAACTTCGTTGCATAACTCCATGAACGTTAACGAACTTCTATGTATTCTATGGTTTATCACCTATGCCTTGCTTTGGATTAAACAGCAGGGATTCTACATTTTGCTACTTATTGTACTATCTGCAATTTGTTATTAGTATTTGCAGGGTGTATAGGATTGATGTACAAACATTTTTGGATACCTTTTGTAATTTGGGATCTATTGTTGTATTAATATATTATATATAAAATTTGGGAAATATAATATATTAATATATATGCATGTATTGTTGATTTTTATAATAAAATAAACTGAAGAAGAGTAGAAAAATCTGTAGATACATTTTGTAATTTGTAATGTATGATTGTATTGATATATTATATATCAAATTTGTAAAATATAATATATTATTATATATGTACATGTATTATTAATTTTTATAATGAAGTAAAGAAAGAAGAATAAGGATTGAAGAAGAGGATTTTTATGTAGATGTGCGGGATCATGACAAGTGAAGTGTAATATATTACATATATTAACTTCTGGAATAAAGTGAAAAAGAAAGAAGAGAATGTGAGGGATCATGGCAATTTTATTTGAAAGAATTCTATGGTATATTTAGATTTGCTGGAATTAAAATCGACCTCACTGAAATTAAGTAATTACTTTTTTATAAACTTCTAATTCTGTATTCGAGGTCACTTCTGACTAAGAACTAACCTAGTTAACAGGCTAATGGATATAATTTTAACCCCTCTGTACAGATATGTTTGCATCTGTACAACCCAATACATGTCTTACCAACACTAGAAAAATACAGTTCCTACAAACTGTCAATATAAGTTCACTCATTACCAATCAATGAATTATCAAACATCAGCTCTTTCACTTTAGAACCATTGACCTACAATGTGTACTTAAATATAGTATACAGTGATAATAATAATTAAAGTGTACAAAAAAGGGAATAAGTGTTATAACTATAGAGTGTCTCTAAGTAACTGAGAAATATTTTACATATTGATTCATTATCCCAAAATCAAAGAAAAAATTTGAAATATATGTATGTCCCATTTCACCTTGTTTATGAGATATTCTAGGTTTTATATTGTAAATAACAATACTCTAGAACAGATAGTACTGCTTATTCACTCCTTGGGGTCCAAAAATTCCAATATAATATTGAACAAACTTTTCAACAAATTCAAAAAACACCAAAAAGTATTGGAAGGGTCCCATCAACGACACATTTTCACATACATGTTTATACACATATTAAAATGCATGAGTCATTTTGAGCATCTCCTATGCAGCTAATAATCACCTACAACAAAATTCAGTATAGAATTTACTATATCCCATATACAAGGTGATTTAGAATGCATTGACTTCCAAATTAACCAACTCCACAGACCAAAATATACAAAATTCATCCTTAAGGTACACAGTGAAGCACCAATCATGTGGCACCAAAAATTTCTGAAAAATTCAAAGAGTGGAGTTAATCATCTTGGTCTGTGAACATTTTATGTAAACATAAAAATATTATACTTATGTAAAAATCGTCTGTTTCATAATACCAACTTCCTTCATTGGTTGAATCAGAACAGGAAACATTCCTCACCTATTCAGAGACACCCTGTATATCCCAGATCTTGCAATGGACCTGAGAAAGCAGGGAGATATTACCTGCTGTTGCTGCGGCTGTTGCTGTTCCTGCACGTTGCAGATCGATCTACACTTGCTGCAGAGCACCTGGCGCGGCCTGAGCCTGACCGTTGGCCGTGCATTCTTGTACCTGGCCGGTGGATTGATGTTCCTACGAAGATCGACTTTCGCGGTGGTCAGCGTGCTCTTTCTCTCTTGGAAGTAGCTGAAGCGAGCAGCGATGGTCGCCAATTTGTCGCCATCGGGGTCTGGTACCGGTTCCGGGGGTTGCACGCCGCACGGGAGGCCCCTGAAAATTCCACAAAGCACGGTTATTGGTCATTGATCGATCGCTTGAAAGCTACTCGAATTTTGAATAGCCTATAATTTTTGGGGATTCACGCGTATCTACGTTGGATGATTATGGATCATTTATCGATCATTCGAAAGTTACTTGAATTTTGAATAGCCTGTAATTTTTGGAAATTCGCATATATCAATGTAGGATGATTATCGATCATTAATCGATCATTCGAAGGCTACTTGAATTTTGAATAGCTTGTAATTTTTAGTGATTCGGGAGTATCTACTTTGGATGATTGTCGATCATTGATCGACCATTTGAAAACCACAGAGAGATTCTGAATGGCGTGCAATTTTTGGAAATTTGTATGTCGCAAGATTATCGATCATTGATCGATCATTCGAAAGCTATTCGAATTTTGAATAGCTTATAATTTTTGGAAATTTGCATATATCTACGTTGGATGATTATGGATCATTTATCGATCATTCGAAAGCTACTCGAATTTTGAATAGCTTATAATTTTTGGAAATTTGCACGTATCAACGTTAGATGATTATCGATCATTGATTGACCGTTTGAAAATCACAGAGAAATTCTGAATGGCGTGCCATTTTTGGAAATTTGTATGTCGAGAGATCGTCGATCATTGATCATATTGATCATTCGAAAGTTACGCTGATTTTGAATAGAGGATAATTCGCACCTTGGGATGTTATCGATCGGTGATCGATAGTTCGAAAATTTCTCTAATTTCGTACGTGATACAATTTTAGAAAATTTTGGAAAATTGCTAGGTTATTTGAAAACTAATTTCAATTTCAATGGCGTTTAATTTTTGAACATTCCAATGCCGGGAAATTATCGATCGCTCGATAAATCGATCATTTAAGAATTAACATAATTTTTAATGGCGTTTAAATTTTGAAAATTTCGTGGATAATCGATTATTTGAAAATTTAGGCAGCACATAATTTTTTGAAAATTTCTAAAATGTTGCAATTTTGAATATCGCGTTATTTTGTGACTCGTCGATCGCTGATCGATCATTTTCAAAGCTACTTTGAATAGCATGTAATTTTCCGGAACTTTTACATCAGAAAATTATCGATCACTCGACGATCATCTTAAAGATTCTAATTTCGAATGGCGTGTAATTTATGAAAAATTATAGGTTGAAAGGTTCATCGATCATTGATCGATCATCGAAAGCTACCTCGAATGGTGTGTAATTCTTGCAAAATCGTATGTTGCGAGATTTATCGATCATCAAACGGCCATCGAAAGCTACTTTGAATATCGTGTAATTTTCCGAAATTTTTGAAATTATCGATCGCTGATCGATCATCGAAAACCACTCGATTCTTTAATACCGTGTAATTTTTTCGTTTCAATCCGAACAGCTCGTGCAATTTTTGGTAACTCGTGGATTTCAGGACTGTTCGAGCTATATATACCGGGTGTTATATTTATAACGGAAGTCTGAATTATTTCCGCTGGTGTTTTGGACAATTTCCGCTGGAAATTTGTGCACACGGTAACACGCATAATCGTGGTAAATACCGTCGGTATTCGTGTCAGTTTCCAGCCCTATTAAAGGATTATACGACAATCCGGAGATATGCTCTCCTAAATACGTAACATGCGTGTACCTGGATAAAATAAAAATAAATTCTATACATAACAAACTATCTGGGTGTACTTTATCATTCGCATAAAAGCACTGAAAGCTTTATCTTCAGATAATTTCTTTTCGTAATATCAACAAATTTCTATCTACTTCGATAATTAAGTCTTGAAATTTATTTTTACGATGGTACAGAATTTGTAGCCATTTTTAGAATCGAAATTAAAAATTTCCTTTTCTGATATTACCATATTTTTCCATTTTCTTTCCTTTTTAACGATATTAAATAAATTTTTACCTATTTTGATAATTAAAATTCGATATCTATTTTTATGCTAAATGTTCCTTCATTTGTCCTCATTTTTAGAATTGAAATTAAAAATTTCCTTTTTTAATATTACCCTATTTTTCAATTTTCTTTACTATTCAACGATATTGAACAAATTTTTACCTGTTTTGGTAATTAAAATTCGATATTTATTTTTACGCTGAATATTCATATATTCATTTTCGAATTGTTATAAGATCGATATTAAAATTTTTCGGTGATTTTTGTAAATTTATATCTCGAATTTTTTATTCTTAATTTCCATACCAAAAATTGTTTTACTCGCAACGATAATTCAAATCTGAAACTTCCCTTCACCCCCGTTTCGAGGACATAGAATTAATATTAAAAACTTCCATCCACTTCGATAATTAAAATTTCAAATCTCCTTCCGCGATATTACTTCCTAGTCGAATTTCGACGACGTATAATTACGAGTGTCGACGAATTTTGATAATCAAGGTAAAAGCTGGAACTCTCAACGACGACACTGTCGCCTTTATTAACCGCCGGAATAATTCTCCATTTCTATGATGCTTACTCGACGTCGATTTTACAAAATGGCACACGCGGGATCGGCTTTAATCATTGCGAGGATTAATATTCCGAAGTTTCTTTCACTCCCAGGATTTTCCTCCCTTTCCCTCCCGTAGGATTACGCTTTTATTTTATTTCTTGAATCTTTTATTAGCGGGATTCAGTGCCGGTGGAAGAAGAGGAATCGATTGGGTGAGTCGACGTACTGGGAATTCGAACGCTACGTTTGCTGGATATCTGGGTCATTGACAGACTGTTTCCTTCTGGCTTTAGCAGTTTCACGTATTGTGCTGTTTATGATAGATCGATGAACGTGGCAGGGATTAAAAATTCAACCGAGAGGTCGAGTCTATGTAGAAAATTGGTTGGCTGGTGAAGGGGGGAAGAGGGGAGAGAGAATGTATACCGAATCATTGCAAAAGGTACGTACTTTGAAAATAGTGAAAGAAAACAGGGGGGAAAATAGCAAACCCATAACACACTTCGTGAAAATTATAGGGAACTGTTTTATGGTAAACGATTGTACGTATATGTACGTATTTTGGAGGGAATAATTTAGAACATTAGGAAAATAAGGGGAAATTATAGTAAATTATAGCAAAAGAAAGGAGAGGTGGGAGTTAAAAGTGCTTTCCATATCACAATTACAATAAAAAAAAGAAAAGAAAAATAATTAAAAAAAGAAAATCGGAAATTTGTGATATATTTCACAAAGATTATAGTGAATTATAGCAAAAGAAAGGAGAGGTGAGGGTAAAAATGTTTTCCATGTCACAATCACAAGGATGTGTGTATAATCTGGAAAATATAAAATGAAAGATAATAAGAAAAGAAGGAAAATTCGAAATTTGTGATATATTTTATGAAGATTATAGTAAATTATAGTAAAAGAAACGGAAGGCGGGAGTTAAAGGTGTTTTCTATGTCACAATCACAGAGATATGAGTACAATTTGGAAAATATAAAATGAAAGACGATGAAAAAAGAAGGAAAATCGGAAATTTGTGATATATTTCACAAAGATTATAGTAAATTATAGCAAAAGAAAGGAGAGGTGAGGGGAAAAATGTTTTCCATGTCACAATCACAAGGATGTGTGTACAATCTAGAGAATATAAAATGAAAGATAATAAGAAAAGAAGGAAAATTCGAAATTTGTGAAATATTTTATGAAGATTATAGTAAATTATAGCAAAAGAAAGAGGAGGTGGGAGTTAAAGGTATTTTCTATATCACAATCACAGAGATATGAGTACAATTTGGAAAATATAAAATGAAAGACGATGAAAAAAGAAGGAATATCGGAAATTTGTGATATATTTCACAAAGATTATAGTAAATTATAGCAAAAGAAAGAGGAGGTGGGAGTTAAAGGTGCTTTCTATGTCACAATCACAAGGATATGTGTACAATCTTTAAAATATAGAATGAAAAACAATAAAAAAGGCGGAAAAATTACAAATCCATGACCTATTTCACGTTAATTATAGTACTATAGTAAAATATAGCAAAGGAAAGTCAAAGACAATGAAAAAAGAGGGAAAATGGCTAATTCGTGACGTTAAAATGAAACGTGAAAATTGTGATAAATTATAACATGATAAATTATAAATTATAATACGATAAATTATAAATCGTGATAAGATAAATTATAACAAGTCTTCCGAAGACTCTGGGTAGTTGGAAAATTGTGATTCCAATCACTGAAAGTAACTGCAATGTGATCGACACGGTTTCAATATCCCGAATAATAGAGGTTATCGGTGAAAATGCGGAATTCGTCGAAATAATGGATTTCGGGGTCCTTTTACGAGCACTGGAAACCAATAACTGCACTTGTGGCAAAATTTATGTTCGACTTTATGAGAGATGGAGTACAGATTACATGTGCCAATTTGTTTTCCACGCACCACTCTAATTTTAATCATCTCTGTGTTATTATATTTAGACACATTCACGGAATCTGTTGCTCTAGTGTTGTAGCCGAACGAGACGGGTACATCGGCTTTAAAAATTATGGGAACGTCAAGAAGTCGTCGAATGATACTTAAAAATTACTATAGTCGAGTAATTTCGAAATTGTAGATAATACAACGGAGTCCTTAACGATATTTGAAGAATACTATAGTCCATTAATTAGTCTATTATCCTATTACTGAAAATTACAAAAATTACAAAAATAATATTCCATCCCAAAAAATAAAGAAATCAGGGCCTGACCAAATAGTTTCCAATTGCTTAAAATTAGAAAAATTAAAAACATAGTACTCTATTCCCAAAAATTAGGTAACGTGACAACATAATATCCTATTACTAAAAATTATAAAAATTACAAAAATAATATTCCATCCCAAAAAATAAAGAAATTAGGGCCTGACCAAATAGTATCCAATTGCTTAAAATTAGAAAAATTAAAAACAAAGAACTCTATTCCCAAAAATTAGGTAACGTGACAACATAATATCCTATTACTAAAAATTACAAAAATTACAAAAATAATATTCCATGTCAAAA